ACGGTGCACGTTTTGTGTTTGGCGATTTTCTTGTTGGCAACGATGTCTTTGCCTTTGCCATATTGCCAGTTATCTTCTTTTTCAGCTTCTTTATATCGGTGCTCTACTATTTGGGCGCCATGCAGTGGGTGGTAATCAAGCTGGGCTGGATACTGCAGGCAATACTGGGCACAACCGTTTGCGAGAGCGTTACGGCTGCTGCCAACATATTCCTGGGCATGTCCGAGAGTCCGCTGCTAATCAGACCCTACATACACAAGCTGACCAAGAGCGAGATACACAGCATTATGGTGTCGGGCTTTGCCACCGTATCGGGCACTGTGTTGGCCGCATATTTATCCTTTGGCGCATCTCCGGCGCATTTGATCACCTCGTCTGTGATGGCCGCGCCCGCCACACTGGCCATATCCAAGCTGTATATGCCCGAAACTGAGGTTAGCCAAACCTCCAGCGATAACATAGAGCTCGAGAAATCGTAAGTTTTTAATATATAATATATATATATATATATATATAATTTAAGCTCATTGCCTCTTCCTATTCCTCTTCCTAATTTCAGCGAGGATGCCTCCTTGTTGGATGCCGCTTCGAGTGGCGCCTCCAATGCCGTGCCCATTGTACTGGGCATTATTGCCAACATTGTGGCCTTTGTGGCATTCGTTGCCTTCTTGAATGGAGTCGTCAGCTGGCTGGGCTTTCTCGTTGGCCACGAAGAGGTGGACTTTGAGTGGATATTCTCCAAGCTCTTCATACCACTGGCTTGGGCCATGGGCGTGGCCCCGAAAGACTGCGATAATATTGCCAAAGTGATCGCCACCAAGACCATCATCAACGAGTTTGTTGCCTACGAACGTTTGGGTGAACTGATTGAAAATAATCGAATTGAAGTGAGTACTTTTTGTAAATGAAAACACATTGGAAACAGTCGAGGCTAATCAGCATTTGCTGTTGCAGGCTCGCAGCGCCGGCATTGCCACCTTCGCCATTTGCGGCTTTGCCAATCCCAGCTCTCTGGGCATACTGATTGGCTCCTTGAGCGCGATGGCACCCAAGCGACGGGCCACCATCACCTCGGTGGCATTTCGCGCATTTATCGTGGGCAGCATTGTCTGCTTCATATCAGCCAGTTTTGCAGGTGAGTACGCTGCCCGAGGGCATGGAACGATGGCTAAATTCGTTTTTCCTTACAGGCATTTTTATCCAGGAGGAGGAACAACATGAGGTTTATACTAAAATCTTTGAAAAATTGGGACAGCGCAACGTGACCAAGTTTAAGCTTTAGTTAATTTATAGACTTACTAAAATAGAATTTGTTAAAGTACTTAGTTAATTGCTGTTATTAAAGCAGCCTGAATAAGTCAGGTTTTTGAATTAAAAACTTTTAGATTAATTTAAAGCGGCGAAAGTATTTTATTTATACATGAGGCCGTTTTAGTATAAAACGGGTTTTAAGCCGAACCAGAGTCCTGCATCAGTTAATTCATTAGCGTTGCAAAATTAAGTGAAAACCGTCAAAATCGCGCTTTCGATTAATATCAATAAGTATCGAAGTAAGCATTGCTCACACAAACTATTCACCAAACCCGAAGACATTCATTTAAACGAAGTTCGATCGATTGAGTCAGCAACATGTTCGATCCAACCAGTTCGATGTTGCCATGAAAGCTACTGCCCTATAAATTAGTGTACTCGTATGGTTTCCCGGTCTTTTTGTTTCTACTCTTCCACATATTAAAGCACATCATCTTCGATCGGACATAACTTAAGCGGCACTTTTGGACGGCAGCATTGTCAGCTTTATTTCAGCCTCTATTGCAGGTAGGAAATATGCATTCACAATCAAGAATCTGAATTGGACAAGTTGAGCGGAGAGTACGTAGAAATGTTAAGCTCGGAAAATGAAGATGTGCGAAACTTTTCATAGAATGTGTGGACACTAAACGTATTTTCAAATCATAATATGTTCTGCTCTGGCAATAAGTGTTTTAAATTGTTAACAATACCACTTAGCTGCAGAAGATCGCTTGCATCTAGTTCAGCGGAGCACTCGACCAATTGCTGTGCATTCTGCTCAAGTAGTCGGATTAATTCCTTGGGCTCGTGTTGAGCACGTTTGCGCTTTAGGTTTCCCTGGTTGCCCTGGTTGCAATGGTGCGTTTGGTTTCTTGCATAGTTAAATTTAGTGTAGTTAATATCGAGCCTGTCTGCGTTTGTTTTAAATAAAGAGCACGCTGGCTGCACAGCGTCTAAAAGTGGACGCAGCTCAGTAGCAATTGCATGCTGCTCCGCCAGAGACTTAAGCTGCGCATTGTCGCTGCCTTGGCAGGCATGCAGAAATCTTTGCACGTGCCAGCAGCTATTGGCAACTGATTTTGACAGCGTAACTGTCTGTAATATGCGCAGCTTTGTAGCTGGGCTGGCTTGTAGCGCCAGTTTAAAGTAAACATTAGCCAGGCGCTTGCACGTGTCCTTAAGCAGCATCTCCTTCTTGCTGCCTGACACTTGCAATAGCCAGTCTACTTGGCCCGTGGACAGCAGCTCCATGAGCGCCAACTGCGGAGAAGAATTATCACGTTAATTGTATTCATTAACCAAAATATGCTTAACTTACAATCTCGTAATACTGCTCAATATCGCTAAGTGGGTCGTTGAGTAGGCGCTGTAATCGCATCAGCCACAGTCGCTGCTGTTGCTCCACTCCGGCGCATATACAATGCAAATAACGATAGTTTCGTATATTAAATGCGGGCGGCTCATTATTGCTCAAACTATGGAAGTATTTGAGCATGCGTCTTACATGCAGTTGACTTAAATTCTGTGAAAACATGGCATACGAATTATTGCACTTGACCCAATAGTTTGTGGCCTGCGTGAGCGCATTATTACGCCAGCCCGTTTGGACCTCTTCTAGACTGCAAATCAACTAGAGTAAATACAAAAATATCTATTTGTATATATATGAATAAATGCCTAACCGAAAGCTCAGCATAAGCACATCCGCGCAGACTTGTGACTTTATGATGTCCTCTTGAAATAGTCCAGCGCAAAAGTAGTTGTACAATGTGGCAGAGCAGGCCAAATGCAAGAGACTGCCAAAGGCTTCCAGTATTCGTTTGTATCGCGCAGCATTGACAAAATTATAACCATCTTGAATTAACAATATGTTAGTGTAAAAAGAAATGATTTCATAATACGTCTCTTACCTTCGCACAAATACTCAAAGACTTTTTGTAAAGTCCGGCAGGTAGGCTGACTAAGTTCTCGGTGATCCATGATGCATACAGTTACATAATCCAAGCACAGCTCATTATAATCCTCTTCCGTTTGCTCGGACCCAGACAGGCAGGCAATTAGGTGCTAAATAGACACTATTAAAATAGGCAGTCAATTTAAGCAAATACATGAGCTTGCCTTTTGAAAATCTTCGAGCTGATAGAGCAGCTCAAAAATTTGCATGACATATGTGCGCATATATTTAGCTACAAGCCCGGGCATGTCTGGCCCCACATCATGACTAGGTTTACTGAAAGAGGTACAAGCACAAGTCAACCTAAAGTTTGTCAAGAATCAGCAGGTTGCTCACTTACGTTTCACCACCGCTCAAAAGCAGCATTATGGCCTCCAAAACAGTTTTATCCATGTGCATAACACCGCTGCCCAATAATTTGTGTAACATGATCAGATAAACCTGTGATACTTTTAAATATTCTTCCATCTTGTCCACGGATGTGTCCTGCTAAGAGAGTTTAAGTATTAAACGACATGCTTTTAACATTCAAAGACTCTGTTCAACCTGTTGATAAACCGCCTCCAATTGATTGAGAACCGTGTCGCAGAGATGCAGCACTGTCTCCTGCAGCCAATCGGGCATGGCTTTAGCTTCATTCCGACTTGACTCAAGACATTTGTAGTATGTGCATATGTTCGTCATGGTCTTGCTGGTTTTTACAAAGGCATGCAGATGTGTAGCTTTAACACTTAGAAAATCTGCAATCTCGACCAGCTGGCGCAGCACTGGCAAAGCAATTAGTGTACTATTATTCAAATTAATTATAAATAATACACATACGAGGAGTTATGCGGGCATGTACTTGACGGGAAGTGGTGGTAATCTCTTGCAGCAGAGCTAAGACCGACAAATGCAGCTCGATGGCCACCGGCTCATGCTCCCTGAGCGCCTGCACATTGTTTTCATTGCTGCAGAGAAATAAACAAATGCATTTATTGATTATAATCATTGATTATCTATTGATTCCACACTCACCTCAGCTGCAGGCAACTGTAGACAATGGCAAGCAGAAAAAATGCTGTTGTGTGCACCAAACGTTCGCCAGCTGTCAGCAGCTTGGCCTTTGCCCACTCGGCAAAGCCCAGTGCATCATTCAGCAGTAGTATAAAATCGCTGCAGGCAGCTTTGTTCTCTGGTGTCACATCGCCTTTCTGCAACAGAACGAGGCAAGTTGAGGCAGTTGCTCCAATTAGGCGCAACACTTACCAGTCGCAGAAACCACTCGTATAGGCACTTGAAAATGTCAATACAGCATTCCGCCTCATTTATATAAGCTCTTAGTAGCTTTCGTAGCCAGAGACTCAATACTTCCACAGTTTTGGCGCTGAGATCCTCGAGACTCTTGTTGCAAATTTTTATTGCGGTTTGTTGTGAAACGCATGTGGAAACATCTTGGCAATCGAAACATTGCAGCTCATCAAATGTGATGCTAACTTGTAGCTCCTGCTCCTCTTCCAACTCAAGAGCACGCTCCATGTTTAGAATTTCAAAAATTCAAATTATATACATAATAGAACTGTGCTATTTCACAAAAACGCGCGTACGCCGAGTCGACTACCGAGAGAAACCGATAATAAACTACCGATAATTGACATTCACAAAATACGCCAACAGGTGTTAACTCAAATTGGTGTAGCGTGATGTTGGCTGCGCATGTTAAAAACATATCGACCGACCGCCATCAATTGATCGGGACATTTCGATTGGCTGTTTAAGGCCACACCGCTGCACACATTTCTTTTCCTTCGCAACGCAGCTGTAGACAAGTTCACTTTTCTTGCGCTCCTGAAAAGAATAAATACATAAAAATGGTAAGTAAATTTTTAAATATTTTTGAGCATAAACACGTGCCCATTTTTACCATGATGTTTATCTATACCGCCCCAGTCTGAAAAGACGTGTTGATTGGTTTTCAATGCTGATAAAAATGCCAAACGTGTTTTTGTGTTTGTGTAATTTTTAATTAACGTGCCAACTAAATAAATGTATTACTTACAGATTGTGAGGTATTGGTGAACATGTTAAAAGCTGCGGCTTGGAAAATAAATTGAAAATGTGTTGCATCAGGCTGTGATGCACTGAAAAACCACGCGCACGTGTTGCCTGGATTAGTAAGGTTAGTTTCGAACAAATTTGATCGGCAATATTTCTTAATGATGTATAAAATTACCGCCCCAGTCTGAAGTATAATGACGATTGGACATTGTTTCTGAAATATCTAAAGAAATATAAACATTTTTACTTGCGTTTGCGTGTACTAAAAACTCGAATTTGTTTTTTCAAAATTACAGCCGGGAATATCCACGTGTTGGCGCATATTTGGGTCTGTTCACCATGCTTGAGGTGAGTTTAAGATCTGGAATGAAATTCAACTTATGGAAAAATCCTATGATGAACACCTTATTTAAGCCAAACAGTTATCCCTGTCATAAAAAATACTTGATGATACAAGAAGCTGATACAAAATTTAAGCAAAATAGTTATTTTAGTCTCATTTAATTCGTGTAACTAATAAAAATCTTATATTATTACAGCTGCGTTTACAGACCATAGACGAGTGCGGTCCTATCTGTGGAAAGAGGTGAGTTTTTTTTCTATTGATCATATCTTTTATACGGTGATCGCTTCTTTATTTAAACTGATGATATAACTGTAGACAAGCATATAACTGAATTTATTATGTTGCTATATACACTCGTCTGAATAAATAAAAGAATATGCCTTATGTATGTCTAAAGAGTTGTTCTAATATATGTTTATTCTCTTGTAGATAGAGCCGGTTCATCAAGCTGATCTTTAACTATGCCGCAAATTTAAATGGATCTGTTGAGGTGAGTTGAGAGACCTTGTCTATAAGTATATTTACCATGATGAACACCTTATTTAAGCCAAACAGTTATCCCTGTCATAAGAATAATTGATGATAAAATAAGCTGATTAAAATCAAGTTCATTATAATTCTAAGAAACTACTGTAACACGTCTAATTGCAAATTCATTTGTTTTCAGAAATGTATGTCCTTGCTGCTCCCAAGCATTATAAACCCGGCCAGATTGGAAGGTAATTTATCTAAATATTTACTAGCATATATCAAGTTTTGTTTTTAATGATGTTTTACATACCGCCCCAGTCGGAGTTAATGATGTCGATTGGTTTTACATGCTGATAAAAACTTGAATATCATTTTAATTGCTTTTTGATGAAAATAATTTAATAATATATCTCTTGCAATTGTAGTGAACTTTAATTAACTCCCCTCAGCTTTACTTGGCTGGCTGGCAAAAACAATTCTGGAAATAGGTAATCTTTATATGACAACTTGTTTTGTCCATTCGATAAAATATAATAATTACATATATCTTTCTCTTATTGCAGATAAAAACTGCGCCAGTCAAATGTCTCGAAAATGATTTCAAAGTCTTGTACAAAACAAATTTGAATAAAAATGCTGCTTGATATTTTTTATAATAACGTGATATAATTTATTTTGCATTTCATATCATAGACATTTACCTTTTTTGTTTGGGTTATTTGTAACGCTACAAATCTTGTCGCATTTGGGTCATGCCCTTTTTATATATATAAGAATAATTTTGCTTGTAAATGTTTTGAATTTAATATGTTTTGGTATTTGTAAATTTATACTCGTATCATATGATATATATATGTGTGCGCATATTAATACATATATATTTATTTATATTTTTATATATGTGTGTTAATGCGCTTCTGCGTAATACCCTCAATAGACCCTGCACAACAACCGAAAACCAAATCAAAACCATTTACCACTATTCAAACGAGGCATTTCGACCTCCCCACTATGTATGCATATATATATAGATATATCTCGATATCGACTGCTAGAAGCTTCCGTTTCTGCTCTACGCACATGAATATTATGTTGAAACGTTTGATTGAAAGCGCGACGATAATATTGTATACAAATCTATATTCTATATAGAGAGAGACATATATATGTAGTTATTTGTTTAGCGTTATAAAATTTGTGACTACAAGTGGATAGACAACATTTATAAAATTTTCTTTCATTGAAATATTCATAGTTATTCATTCATATTTGATTTATGCTTTAACAAATATATAGAACTCTACAACTAATCAATAAGTACAAAAATATGTGATATTTTCAAAAAAACAGATAAAAAAAATCCAATTCAACTCTGTTTTTGTAATGTCTGAAAGCGGTTCAGTCATATCGAGCATTATATTCTCTGCGAAATGGAACATAAACAAAAAATAAATGGGATATAGTACTTCCAAAACAAAAATTGCAATATTCATTTTTTAACATCAATGACGATTAGAAAATGGATTTTCAATTACGGCTCAAAGAGTTATACGCATACGAATATATAGATATCAATTCCGTGTGGAAGTCTGAATGATATATGAGAAGTAGAGTATATATATATATGTATATATACACTATATATATGTATATTTAGCTTATGAACCAAGACAAGATGTGTGAACATTTCTCTTAGATGTTTTTGTGAATTTATTTTCAATTTTGTTTTATAAGTGTAATCGTATAGGTGTTTTTATAAAACAATAAGGAATCAACAATATTCATAAAATGTATCATTATAGAATATATGATAAATGTAAATCTAAAAACTACATACTTGTGTATTTCTTTCTTTTTTTGTTTTGTTTTATAATTATAATTAATGTATACTATATGTCATATAATTTGAAATAATTCTCGTGTATGAAATAAATAGTTTGCATGAGTGTGTGTGTGTATGTGTATGTGTGTGTATGGGGCGCTGTCTAGTGTCCGATGTGCTTCTTGATGAGCGCCTGCAACAGACGCACCTTTGCCTTCTTCTCCTTGTACTGGGCATAGGTTTCCGTTTCAAGGGATTTGCGATCCGGCTTTAACATTTTGCGTCCATTCTGTTCCTCGAATATGGACTCATATTCGCGTATGGTCGCCTTCAGCAGCATCTTCTCCTCGCGCACGCGCTCCAGCTGCTCCCACAACTGATCCACACTGAGCGCCGCAATGTTCTCCGCCTGCGTCTCTGTCGCATTTGCCGTTGTTGTCGTCGTAGTCGTCGTCGTGGACTCATCGGAGGAAGCATTCTGTGTTTGGGCATTTGGCGCCATGGAGTCGCTGGGCGAATTGGTGGTCTCGGTGCTATTGTTCGATGAATACTGCAGCGGTGTGGATGTTGCCTCGAACACCATAGCCTCGTGCTCCAGTATGGTGGGCAGCTCATGGACGCCAGCACAGCCGCCGAACATGATGTGGCGCGAAACCAGACGCTTCAGCTGCCTGTAGCGATCGTAGAGTGGACGTGCCGCATCCCGTTCCTCCTTGGTGATGGGATGACCGTAGAGGCTCTCGAAGTACAGCAGACCATGCTGCACGGCGCTCTTCTCCTGCACCAGCTGGTCGGAGGTGAGCTCGTCCAGCTGCTGTGGACGATGGTTCTGCGTGCGTTTCTCGCTGAGATTCTGCAAAATCGTATGACAAATATGTACAGGGTATTAGCCAAGTGCTCAAGTACGACGCAGTTGCTGCTGGCACATCAATCAAATTTTAAGTCGAAATTGAATATTTCGTTTGCAATTAACGAAATGTCAAATGTGTGTGTGTGTGTGTGTGGAACGTAAGGCCCATATAATGCCCAAAAACTGATAAAAATAAAGACCGAAAAATGTCTGACAAATTTTTGTTGGGGTAAACAAGTCAATTAATCAGCGACATGCATTAGGCATTATTCGATTTGGTCTGCGGAAAATTCATTCAATTCGGCCAAATGGAAAACGAAAATCGAAAATAGAAAAGCGCAAAACAAAACAGAAAAACAAGTGTGCATCATACTTAACGTGGCACTGTCACAAGTGCATCCTTATATATGCACACCATAAGCATTATTTGCCCAACCAATTTATATTTGTTTTCTTGTTATTTTGTTGCTGCCAGTTTTTTTTTTTTTTTTTTTTGTTTCTGCTTCCTCTTCGACTTGCACTTGCCTCTGTGCTTTGGCAGCCTTTCAAGTTTATTTGTTTCGTAGTGCCTATAGCTATGCATACTTAGTCGAGCGGGAGGCCTGTCCGCAAACAAAATACGTAGCATATTGTGCTTATATAGACACACATGTTCCTCGTGCGCCAAAGTCAAAACAAATCGTTAAAGAACATATAGATATATATATCTAGTATATATATATATGCAAATATTTTTATATAATCTCATGCCATGCAGCTCATAAGCTGCAAAGACTTGTGAAAATGCCTTTAGAAATTTCACTACAAGCTCGTTTATCATTTGGGCCTTAATTAAATGTCATTGCTCGCGGAGCTTTAGATTAAAAGTAGGGCATGGAATTTGCCGCCACGTGCCTCCAACTTAATAAGAAACTCTTCTAAATACCTTTAACTTTACCAGCTGATAGCTGAAAAGAAAACTGCCTTGAAGGATTTCCATGTTCTATTTCATGGTATTAATGTTGTTTTTAGTCGAAATAACAATTTAGTATGGCCTTGGGCACCCATATACCTAATTTATCAGCTCTACTAACTTCTATATACCCAAATGGGAACTGTCAATTCCATAGTATTTAAATTTGCCAGCTTATGGTATGCTTCTGTAGAAATTGGCCTGTTTAACTATCTTTCTGATACCCTACACCAAGGTATATTGTTTCTTAATATGCACTACATCAGTTTTTCTCCTATTACAACTTCGATTCCCCATTCCTATACCCTATATTATTTATATTCCCATTCTTATACCCTATATTACAACACTAGTTTATTCCCCTTTCATCTACCCTGTACTAGAGCTATTCCCTCGCTTATACCCTATTACACTAGTTTATTCCTTCTCGTAAATCGAATCACAATTATATTCTCTCTCTCTCTCTCTCTCTCTCGTTTTGCCCCTTTCTTATACCCTATTTTATTTCGATTCTCTATCGTATACCCTATGCTAGTTATGTTCCTTCACTTTTATCCCAGTTTTATTTTCTCACCCTTTTCTAGTTCTGTTCCCTATCCTATACCCTGTACCAGTTACATTTCTTCTCGTATACCTTATATCACAACACGAATTGTTTTTCCCTTTTCAATACCCTTTACTATTTCTTTTCCCTCTCTTCTCTCCTAGTTTTCTTCCCTTTCCTATATCCTTAACTAGTTCTATTCCCTTTTTCATATCCTATACCAATACACTAATATGAGTTCCTTTCTCCTCTCGTATACCCTATATCAATTTCCTCTTGCGATCACATGATAATATTTCCTCTTTGGCACTTAAATAGATTTTTCTGTCAAATTATTATCTGAATTTTCGTTTCAAACTTGCGTTCGAAATGTGAGCAAAATGAAATGCTTTGCCAAATTTGACAGACACCATAAAATCGCTGACGTCATCCGCCGGGCCGTGTTGTTGACCATAAAATTTGTCTGATGAGCTGTTGTTTTGGTATTCGGCTTCTCCCCCTTACCTGCTCGATTTCGCTGAGGGTGTTCTTCATGCGCTCCAGTTTCTTGGCTGCCTCCTGGCCGCTGGCAGCGATGCCGCTGCCGACGCCGACGCCGCAGCCGCTGGCGCCGACCTTGATGCCGAGGGCTGCAATGGGATCAGTCTTAAGCTCGTGACGCTCCTTGCGCAGCTTGCTGAGCTCGGCGAGCGCGTTCTTCATGTACTTGTCGTTCAGACGCTCCGCCTGCGAGGGCCGATAGCCGAGCCGCTGCTCCAGCGAATCCTCCAGCTGGACGAGTTTCTTTTTAAGCGCGGTCACGCGTCGATTGATGGCCTTGACGCGCTCCTCGGGCGTCTGAAAGGCCATCATGGCGGGCACCACCTGCTGCATGACATCGCGTGTGCGCATATTCTCCAGCGAGCTAAACGCACGCACTGCATCCATGGGCTCCAGACAGTCCATGTCCTCGCCGAGCAGCTGCACACTGGCCGCCTGTTTGGGCTGCTGTTGCGGATACGGCATCACCTTGGCCAGCTTGGCATCCGCATCGATGTTGCCCGCATGATGTCGCGAATGGGCGTAGCGGCGACTCAGCACGGGCGCCGGCTCATCACCGCGCTCCCAGGGTAGCGACTCCTGTGCTGAGGTCAGATTTAGCGTTTGCTGTTGGCGCTGCGGCGGCTTAGCCTTGATCGGCGCCGGATTTGGTGTGCTGTCATCGCTGCCACCTGCCGAGCTGCACGAGCTGCTTGTCGTCGGCGTGGGCGAGATGCTGGCGCTGTGCTTTGCCTGGAGCTGCTGTTGCTGCTGCTGATGGAAGTCGATTAGATTGTTGTCGTTGTGATCGGCAACTGTTGCTGCTGTGGATTGTTGCTGCTGCTGCTGCTGCTGTTGCTGCTGTTTCTTGCTGCTGATGAAGCCGCGTCGCTCGTACTTGAGCGCGGATAGATCGTACTTGTAGGCGCTCTGCTCGTCCCGCCTGGAGGGCAGATACTTGCCAGCCGTGCTGGGCTTCTTGCTGACGCCGGATTTGCGCACCGGCGGCTGACGCGACTTGCAGAAGCGTTCGCTGCTGCGGCGACGCTCATGCTCGCACTCGCTATCATCGCTAGCCTCGCGCTGCTGCTGTTGCTGCTGCTGCAGCTGCAACTGTTGTTGCTGCTGGGAGCGCGCCGGACTTGTCTCGTAACGTGCGCGATCCTTGAGCGCCTCCGCATTGCCATTGACTGGCGTCACATTGGCCAGCGCCGCATTGTTCTCCTGCTGCTCGCTGTTCTCTGCCGGCAAGTCGGCGCTTGCATCGCGCTCAAACTCCTGGCAATAGCTGGCATAACTGGCCGTGCGCTTGAAATCCTCCGAGGAGACGCGTCGTATGACCTCGCAGTGTGAGGACCTCAATTGGGTGTTGGGAGCTGTTGTTGCTGCTCCAGTTGCTATTGTTGCTGCTGTTGTTGGCTCCGGCTCGGTGAGCAGCTCCTCGCTGTTGCTGCGCTGTAGCTTGCGATCCTGGCTGCTCGCCGAGCAGCTGTCCAGGCGCTCCTTGCGCTTCCGTGACTTTTGCCATTCCAGTGGATTTATGATTTCGGGTAGGTAGGTGGAATTGAAACGTGGCGTTGTCGCCTCCATATTCGAGAGCTGCACCACATCGCAAATATCCGGCTGCTGCTGCTGCTTCTGCTTGGCGGCCACGCTGGAGGCGGCAGAGGAGGACGATGAGGATGAGCAGGCGGCGCTGCCGCACGAAGCGCTCGACGAAGATGATGAGGAGGATGAACCAGTGAGACGACTTAGGTCGTCTTCGTTAAGGCCAGTTGTGGGATGTCGCATGCCGCACTGCAATACAAAAAGAAAAGAACAACAACAACAACATAAATATCAGCAATTTATATAAATTGAAAGATTGCTCATATGCCGCGTGGTGCTGCGTCTCGAGACGTTCGCCGTCACGAGTCATTAATTAAACAGCCTTTGCCAGCGCATGATGCGAACTAAGCGCCTAATCATTATATTTATACTATGTACGTATAAAAAACGAGTTTCCTTGACTGATTGACTGACTGATTGATTGATTGACTGACTAATCATCAACGCGTAGCTCATAGCGTAAGGCAAGAAGAGCTGAGTTCTAATAGTTTTATAACTTAACTGATTTTGAAAGCTCTACATCAAAAATGATTGAACACGTGTTTCATACAATTTCCACGGGCGGAAAATGCATGAAAAATAGACAAAATTGTATGTATAACACACGATTTGCCTTGAGTGATTGACTGACTGATTGATTGATTATATAATTAAATACATCAAAAATGTTTGAACCCGTGTTTTTTTTAAATTTCCACGAGCGGAAAATGCGTGAAAAACTGTTAAATTTTTATGTATAAAAAAAGGTTTGCCTTGATTGATTGACTAACTGATTGATTGCTTGACTGACTGACTGACTGTACTTTCATCAATGAAGAGCTCAAACATTGAGATCAAAGTTAAGCTGAATCTAAATAATACCATATTTAGCCAATAGTAACTTATTTTTAAAGCTCTACATCAAAAATGATTGAAAGCTTTGTCTCATCGAAATTGCACAAACGAAAAATAAGTGAAAATTTGAAAAATACTTTGCCCACACAAAGCCAAGCCATAAATAATTGAATACAGTAAATGTTTAATGTCAGGCGGCGGCATTCACTCGCCCAGTGAGCTGTCCATTAACTGGGTTAATATGAGTCCTATGAGTAATGAGTAATATACACATTACGTACCACCAAATACTTGCAACGTCATGCTGCCACAAGGCGTCGACTGCCTGGCTACGCTGTGCTTAAGTAATTAACAGTCAACAGGTTGCAATTAAAGAATTAATTTGACGAGCTTGTTGAAATGGTTTAGTGACATTTTTTTTTGTTGAGAACTACAGCGAAACTCAGGAATGCATTTAATCTATGCTGACATATGACTAAGTGTATTGCTTAAATTATTAATTAAAGAGTACATCAACTAGTCAGAGAATGATAGAAATAGAGCTGTATCATAATGAAAATAATTCAGCTGGCAAACTGACGTAGCTAAAGTAAAAATATTCGGACTTTGATAAGGATATCTTGATAAGAAGAGTTCTGCCTAAATGTGGCAGCTATATTATAATGATTATTAATTATATTATAAATAAAATGATGAGAATCATTTATTTTTATATTGAATATAATAATGATATATATATATAAATATGTATATTATTTCATTATTTCTAATCAATCGGTTCTGACATGCAAAAATGTTTAACTAAGCTAACTTTTATTAAACTTGCTTTTAAATAAACAAACAGGTGGAGGGATTTAGCTATATCAAGTCAGTTTATGAATATCCTTTTCTAATGCTATAAATAATTTACATTAATTAAAGCTGAATGCGCTTAAGCTTCAATTAAATGTATAGGCTTAAATTTTTTAAGCATACAACAAATTTATAAAAAATTGGACTTAAATAATATAAAGAACTTTTTAATATTTTCCCCAAAATCCTGCATAAAATTTGTGGCAACATTAGCGTATCCTTTGCCTTTGACTTCGATTAAGCTTCAAATAAATTTATTGGTAAATCAAAATAAACTTCTAATAAAAATATATAACTATTAAAATATATATAAAAGGAATTTAAATAAATATATGCCTTGCCAGGCTCTAAAACATATAGCCGAACCTTCATAAAAGCTGCCAAAGTATTTATTTTATAATTATATAAAAGATGTCGATTATATAATCAAAAAATTTGCCATTTTATGCGATACACAATTTCACATTTTCATAAATTAACAAATAATGTGAAAATTCAATAAACGTATTTTTTATCTATTTACCAGAAAATATGTTATTATTTTGGGCGTCATTTTGATAACGTTTTAAGCTCTAAGCGTATCAGTCTGTGTTTTTTTTTTTTTTTTGTTAAAGGTACTTTGAATATCACAAATTGAAGAAATTTATCACAAATATAGAAATCACTTCAGTTGCAATTAATTTCAATCGAAATCAATTGACAAGCTTTGATTCTGGCCACTTTTTGGCCAAATTGTAGTTTAAGGTCTAAGGTTTCCTTTCTTTCGTATTGGTTTTTTATTGCATTTCAAAATTGTGTCTAATCACAATTTAAATGCATTGCGAATTTCACATGATTTGTGAAAAAAAGAGTTTTCTTCTTTCTTTTTTGTTTTTTTCCGAGCACTCGAGTATTTTGGAACGTTGTTTTCTCTGCGCGCGCCGAAATGCGATTAAATACATTTCAGCCGCGACCTCGCGAATTATATGCGAAAAAATCTAGAGGCAGAGCGAGAGAGAGAGAGAGGCAGAAAGCGAGAGCGAGAGAGCGGCGCGTGCGCAAAATCAACACAAATCGATCATGAGCTGAGCACCGCGCGGCCAAGAGAGTAAGTTAGGGGAGCGGGCGGAGGGTGGTCCCAGGGGACAGGTGTGAAATTTCTATGGACAGAAGCTATGCAAAAAAAAATTAAAAAAAAAGGCCGCGCGCGCCAGACTGCAGACGGGCTGACTTGGCTGACCTTATCAGCCGACACACCGGGCGTATGCTTGATATTCCTCTGTTGTGAATTAATTGTTTATCGAGCGCAGGAGGGGAATTTTTAAAAATAAATCACGCTAATTTTTGTGCCTGTTTATGAGCATGTTTATCAATTTATGCACTTGTTTATGCCCAAAATGAAAACAAAACAAAAAAAAGAAATAAAAACGGCAGCGCACACACATTTAATTTGGGCTTAAAAGCAACATTCGATATGCAAACGGCGCACAAAATAAACACTTGAACATCAACTTCCGCAACAACAAACATTCAAGTGCAATGTCACAATGCCGCAAAGGTCACACAGTCAAAAACTAAGGCTGTTGCCTGTGCAATTAGCTAATTTATATTGAGGCAGCAGCAGCCGCAGCAGCTGCCCATTGTACAAAGCAGAACTGTGTCAATCAACCTGCCTCTGGGTTACACACTCAATTATTTGTTGCGTGTGCTCCAAGAGCAACAGACAACAGGCAACACAGAGAGGCAGCCGCAACAACAACAAAATAAGAATCTCAACGAATGACAATTAAAGCCCACGCGCCGCTGACGTCAATCGAGGCATGGGCCTCGCGGCGGGGCAGGGGTAAAAGGGTGTGCGTTTCCCTATAATATGGACGACGTGATCGCCGGCAGTTGTGCCCGCCCCAATTGTGTAGACAGAAAGGACACCCCAGTCGATAAATGTAGGCGCGTGCAAAGCCTTACCAATGTGCTATTGGAAGCCCCGCATTAATGCTTATCAAATTAATTGGACCCAACTTGAAGACATAACGGAAATGGGGGCTTTTCTTTAAGGGATTTTTTGGCGTTGACAGCGCAAATAGAATTATATATATTTATATATATAATGCAATGCCAATAACTAAATCAAAGTTGATTTTTTGCAGTTATTTGGTGAAATTCTTAAATAAATAGCTGCTAATAAAGCTGTCTGGCAACTCTAATCAATAACAGTGGATCATTAAGTTGCTGTCTGGCAACTCTAATTAATAACAGTGGATCATTAAGTTGGCTGCGCCAAGGCTCATAACAGTTGCTAATTAAGTTGGCTGCGCCAGGACTATATCAGAATTATTCGTAAATATTTAAGTTTTTTTACATACTATAATTATAAATGAATATCACTTTAAATAAAAATGAATATTACAAAAATGTTCAGCTATTTGAAGTGCCCGGAAAATCGTTTCAACTTATTTAATACCTTGAAGGACTTGTATTGAATATCTTTATATTTGAATATATATTTGACTCTAATTAAGTTTTTTTCTATGACATAAAAATAACCTCAAATAAAAAGAATTAAAATCAAGTTAAAATGAATTTAATTTAATATTTGACTGGAATTCGAAATAAAAAACTCATAAATTTCGATGTTTGCTATTTTCATGTTTTACAGACCCGGATCTAGTTATAAAAAAACACGCCCTAGCATAGTTATTAATAGACTTATGAATTCGTTTTGTGAGTATTATATTATATTAGTATGCATTGAGCAATTGTTTATGTTACAAGAAGAGAAATTCGCTGACTTAACGACTGTTTATGCCGCCAATTGAGGCAGCTGTTGATGACTCACAAAAAGACAGACGCAAACAAAATGAAGAATAAAAAAGAAAACAAAACACCAATATCAATTGCAAGTTCAACCAAATGCATTTAAGCAATTACTAATTAACATAATTGATAAAATGTTGCAAGCTCATGACGCAAAACAAAACCCCAACTCTGCTTTTTGCTATCATAAGCAGCAAAAAGTGTTGTGCTTCAGTTCAGCAGCTGATAAGCAGCAGCCAAATAATGATAAAAAAAATATGATAAACTGGTAGCCAAGCAATCAATAAATGCAGAATACAACAAGTAAGCGGTTCTAGTCGGGAGTTCCCGACTAGGGGATACACTGAACCCTCTTCTTCCAACACCAAATGCAAATATATATATACTATTCTAAAAGCTATAATCGGAAATAGACTCGATGTGCGCAGGCACTAGGAGCACCTACATCTAAAATGTAGTCAAGTCTCTAGCTCTTATAGGTTCTAAGATCCTTGCGTTCATACATACGGACGGACAGACGGACGGACGGACAGACAGACGGACAAACAGACAGACGGACATGGCTAGATCGACTCGGCTATTGGTGCTGATCAAGAATATATATACTTTATGGGGTTGGACATGCTTCCTTTTGCCTGTTACATACATTTGCATTTTGCACAAATACAATATACCCTTTTTAGCCATTTTCAATGGGTTCAGGGTATAAA